TCAGCACTTTTAAACAGCGCGCTCCGGACACAACTAGTGCGGTTATTTTGGTGCCCAAGTGTGCCCACCTAGAAAAGGAATTTCAAACACGCGGTTGGACCTTACTCAAAGAGTTTACAAAAAACTCCAATATCTTCTCCGAACCTAAACCCGGAGGTGGTCGCACCAGGTCCCCAAACTGCAGCGGCGAGTTTCAAGCATGGCTCGACCCCTGCCAGGAAAAGTCCAAGTGTTCTGCACTAGAACCTCTGACTGAAAACACCGCGCCACTACTACCGTGCAACTTTACTAGCACAAAAGCTGTCGCCTTAGTCGACTCAGGTGCTTCGCACGTTTTCATATCCGCCACACTTGTGCAAAAACGGGGTTTACAGCCCCTCACTAGCCACGTAGCTACTTGCATGCTAGGAGACGGCGCAAATAGCGCCCGCCTCCAAGGTCAGGTGCATACGTCGCTCCGTATCCACGGATTCCGCTGCAAAATCGTAGCGCAAGTTATCCCTAATTATCCACCTCACTCAAGGCGCCCCGAGGACGGGTTCGCATTCAAGAGGGGGGGAATGTAACGCCGCTAAGGCGGCCCTTGGCTCACCGGGCCAACGGTATCGTACCAACGGTACATCCAAGAACTATTCATAATCTTCCAATACCAAACGGTATTTATCAATACCACCTTTTATCGTTGGATAATTTCCTTTTTCGCAACTGCTTGCCAACTGCAAGCTTTGTTACATCGTCGGTCGTAATTTTGTTCAGTAAACCTGACAAGGTTTCAAATGATTTCAGCCGACTTTCGGATATTGTGGCATGGACCCACTACATTGGCGGACCTGGTCGACCAGGTCGATCGACGTCGGCCTCGGGTAACCTTGCCTATGTACTTATTTGTTCATCAACTATATTCTACTTTGTGCTGGAACAATCGGCGTTCCTTTGGGCCATGACCATGACTACCAATGGTCATGTTACATCGGAGCACCAAAACAAGTGGCAAACACCCTAAGTAACCTAAATTTCACTTATGATAAGTTCACCGGCTATATTCATGTTTCCCAATGTGCTTTCAGGGCTGCACGTCAAAAGTAACCTCGTCCAGACAACCGTCCCTTAGCTGCTGAGCCTTGGGCGCTACACGTCTCTGGACTGCCAAATGGCCGTAGGTAAAGAGCAAATCGTAAGGACAAATAATGCCTCCCTACACTCATATTTGATGGCAAACACGTTAACTAACCTCGTCATAACATTTCACACACTCAGCGCGCATATCTGTGCCTAATTATGACACTTTCAAGGTTGCACATTTATCAAGCTTCTAGCTGGCGAGTAACCTGTCCAGACAACTGCCCCGTAGCTACTGAGCCTGACGAGTTACACGTCTCCGGACTGCCATAGGGAGGACTTCACTTTCAGCATGTTCTTGATCCTAACCGCTTTCAAGGCCTGTTAGCTTCCCCAAACCCTAACAGCTGTCAACAATTGAAAATTTCTCTGGATGAACTGCCCATAGTGTAACATCCTGATGGGGTGTCACGCTGTGGGTGGCTTGTCCCAGGAAAGGACGAGCACTGGCACCAGGGGCCCTGACTGGGCCGAAGCACAGTGCAGGGGTGGGCGCGCGGCTCTACATCCCACTCTGGGAAAAGGGGGGTCATTTTACCCGTAATTTTGGGTCAATCCACCCGTAATTTGACAGAAATTACGGGTCCGTAACACGTTACGGGTCCCGTAATTTGAGCACAAGGATACAGGTGAACATTTACGGGTGAAGACCCAGTGATTACGGGTGGATTTTACGCGGTGCTGGAGGTTAATTACGGGCGGATGTAACCAATTACACGCAAACTTACGGGTGAAGACCCAGTGATTACGGGTGGATTTTACGCGGTGCTGGAGGTGAATTACGGGCGCATGTAACCAATTACACGCAAACTTACGGGTGAAGACCCAGTGATTACGGGTGAATATTACGCGGTACTGCAGGTGAATTACGGGCGCATGTAACCAATTACACGCAAAATTACGGGTGAAGACCCAGTGATTACGGGTGAATATTACACGGTGCTGCAGGTAAATTACGGTGCATGTAACCAATTACACGTACAATTACGGGTGAAGACCCTGTTATCACGGGTTACACAGGCAGATATTACTCTGCGATGTGACGCTTACTGCATGTTAAATTAACGATTGGTGAATACTTGCGGCAAGCCTCAAAATGGACGCACACCCCTTGTCAAAGTAGCCTAAGTCTCAGTGTGCTTGTGGACCAAGGCGCTTTGGACTCACAACGCCAACCAGCCAGCCTGACAGCCTGATGCATTCATCTCAACCATCGTCCTCGAAAACAGCGTTCATGTCACCCCCCATACAGCAAGTGCTCGCCAAGGAGTCTCACCACCACTTGC